CTGGTAATCCAAAGATTCTTGCTCAGAAAGCAAATCCTGTTATGCTTGAAGAGGCCTCCAGAGCCTGGCTGTCCTATAAAGCAGCTCTTTGCACCTTATTTTCCTCTGTTCCTTTCAATTTTTTCATGCATCATTCCTTATATACTGTGGCTTGGATAGAACTGGCTTTCCATTATGCAGAAGCTCTCTCACTGTCTGAATGCTCTCACATTTGAAGAAAGGGTTATTCAAAATTAACTTTCTTTTAATAGGACTTCATTTAGGAGAGCTTTTATACCAGCACTGATAGAAAATGGCTAAAAAACTATTCATGGAGGCATTTAGTGATGTACTAGTTTCTTAAAATGAAGCAGAACTTGTAAGCTTAACATATTCTTCCAGAAGAAATCAAACGTCACCAAAATTTAGTTCAAGGATTCTTTAAAATAGGCTTTTTTTTTTTTTTTGATAAATTCTTTTAAGGAAACAGCAAGCACAAAAGCATTGTTTTGAAAAGCTCGGTAGCATTAATGTCTGCCTATGTTTTTTAGCTAACTTTTGTTTTCTAAAATATCTCTGAAGATGCTTCACAAAAAAAAAAAGAAACTAACAGAAGCAAATCATATTAATCTCTCAAAATGAATTGTTTGGATTATAGAAAGGAAGGAAGGCAGGCTTTATGTTTGTTTATTTAAAATCTTCTGAAGTTGAAAACTACCAGAAGAGATTTTCATGGTACCATTTCCAGGGGCCATCTCTGATAATGATTTCTTCACTGCTGTTTTAAGACCTGCCTGTTGCTGTCATCAGTGACGCAGTATATGTAGAAACACCATGTTTTACTAGTAAGGTACAACCTGAACAACCGAATAGCTCAAAAATGTAGGAAGATTTATATTCCGTCTTCTGACCATGCACCATTAGTGTGTGACAACCTTCCAACTGAAATGCTTGAATAGGTCCAGTTTTCTTCATGAGCACTCAATGATAAAGCAACGTGTATGTCATAATACCCCTTATCTCACTTTTTGGTATGTTTTTTGCAGTATTTCATGGTTATTATTAGAAGATCTCAAACAGAGTGTTATTATTTATGAGAAGGATTGAGAAACTGTGTATTTTTATTTTGTTATTTGCTGTTGCAGCTGACTTTTCCATGTTGTTCTTGTCCTATTGCTCCATTAGTCAACTTCATAAAATGATAAATATTCTGGAGAAACGAGCATAGAGCTTTCTTTAAAACCAAAGGCATTCAGATTTTTTTTGATGCTCCATAGGTCCTACACGCAGCTTTATATATCTATATATATATGTACGCATTCAATAACTAAAATGAAAATTTAGATTTATTTATAGATTATCTATTCTGGAAGAAATCTATTGCTTTACAGACTACACTACATACTTTGTACATGCCATGTAGTCATGTAAATTAGAAACGTTGTTTTTAATACAAGAGAATAGTTTTGAGGAAAATAAGTGAGAACAGTATCTCTAAGTGAGATTGTAGAAGACAAACATATGGTAGAGAAAAGCTTCTTTTACTTGAAGAGGTGATGGGATGCAGAGTAATGCAATCATCACCAATTATATTTAGATTCTTGAAAGGGGTTGAAAGTCATGGCTTAGATCCAACTTCTGGAAAATTTTGGAAAAATCGATACCTAAAATATTAATCATCAATCACGATGTTATTCTGCTATCTTTCTTCGACACACACTATAGATCACGGCAGCAGATGTGAAATTCTCCCTATAAATCCACTGCTATATGTCTAATGTAGTCATCTTCCTTTTCCACATGATTTCTGGTTATTCAGTGTCTTGCGTGAAATATATTGTAAAGTTCCTGTTTTTTCATGGCTTGTAATAGGCAACATCAGAACTGAAGGAATTGTTTCAAGCCTCAGCAGATATGCAGAAGATTGAATGGAAATTTGGAATGATTTCTTATTTGGAGCAATTATTGTCCCCATATTATTCTTAAAGTCACAGGCAGGAATGTAGCACCCTGTACAGTCTTTATACCTCTTGTATCTGTTCTTGTATCTAATAGATCTGTCTCTAGAATAATCAGTTCAATGTCCTTTACTGCAATTATAGCCGCTTCTTAAAAATATTACCCTCATCAGATGACCATTTGCCTTTCTACTTGGAAGATATTGCCAATAAAAATCGTATCAGTAAAATTCTGAATGGAGAGGGGAAATGGTGCTGCATTTCATTTAAATTAATCTTGCAAACAGAGGTTGTTAAGATCTGAGAAAAGACTGCATCAGTGTCAAGGAGGTTTAGAAACAGTACTTATAAAGAAAGTATCCAGAAAGGCAAATGTGGAAGACAAGCTACTAATTAGCTTTAAACACTGAAGCTGGGCCTACCCATTCTCAAGTTATTGCTGTTTATTATTAAAGACCTTGTTTATGATTTCATTTTTTTAATTGTAAAAACACCTGGGATGATGTAACAGGCCCAAACCAGTCCTGTTCTCTTCTTGCGCACTTGTCCTACAGACTTTGAATCTTCACTTGTACCATTAAAAAAATCTCCCACAACAAAACACCACACATTTTAAAAATGGAATAATGAATGTTAAACATTGGTACCTACCCTGCTGGCCTCTGGGACCAGAAATCAGAGTGCATCTCCCTCACCCAGTGTGAGGATGGGGGAAGATGCCTGAAGTTGCCTGTGTTTCTTCTCAGATGTATCAAATTTGTAATGGACAGGTGTTTATCTCATTTGAGATTGTGCACCTTCACTGCCCTTACAGGACTCCTCCTCATTTTGTTAATAATACACTATGTGAACTAGGTGAAAGTGCTTTAGTTGCCATAATACACAAATGAGGAGACCCAGCTCTTCATTGTCAAGAGACTCTTAATGACAGCATATTTGCTGACACAGCAGTTGAATAAAATGCAGCTGACTCAAACTCATTCCCCAAATAAGGGGGGGAAAGCTTGAAGAGGAATTAGGAAGAACTTGCAAGAAGTGATTTAAATGGTGACTTTTCCCCTGTGCCCCTGTGCTGGAAATACACATTACCAAGATATGAATTAAATGCTTAATATTTACTGTCCTCTTTGAAATCAAGTCTTTGCTTCTAACCATCTGAACAGCATCAATGGGTAAAAATGTTGACTTTCATCGAAGTAGTGTGGCAGCACCTTTGCACGGATCACTGAATTGGTACTCTTCAGAACCACAGTTCACCAACTTCAGCACATGCGTGTCATGTTCTTGAACTGATCTTGAAGGGTACCTGGATACTGCAAAAGGTGTGGCAGCATGCAGCAGCTTAACGTCTCAGTGGAATAGATTTGTAGGAATGCATAGCTTAGTACTTTCTTTCCTGTGTGATATGACACCCTTCATTCTTCCCTTTCAGTTTTTTCTAGTTAATCAAATTATGACATTGTAATGGCTTTGTGTTGCAAACTAACTTCCAGGATATGTCTGTGAGAAGATGAACAGCTTTGGCAGAGAGAAAGCAGTCAAGTTCCTTTTAGATGAAAAAATTCACTCTTTTGGGAGATCAGTTAGTGTTGAATAATGTATTATGCTTCTGAGCCAACTTTTTAAAAATTATATTGAAAAAATCTGCACTTGAATGTTTGTTTTATCTTTTGTTTAATTTTAGACAGTGAGAACTGATCCACAGATCAGTCCTTGGTGACTGTTGGCTGGCAGGAAGAGTGTTTTGGCTTGGGCGATTATTCATGCTACTTGTAGACATTACAGGAAAAGTCCTGGATGATGGTAGATTCATTTACTTTAACTGTTAAGAAAAAAATTAAATACCTCAAAAGCATCATATTCTTGCATAAATCCTTACCCACTTCCATGCAGTCATTCTTTGAGTGTTGCATAGGTGATTTGTATGCCATATTTAATGCAATAATACCAGTGGGCTCATAGAACCCAAAGCAGAGGGTTACAAATGCTACCTCTGTAAAGTTAAGTATACAAGAACAACATTAGTTTTTATAGATTCAAAAAATCACGTAGGTTAGGACCTCTAGAGGCCGTGTAGTATTGCTCAAAGCAGGTCCAATTATAGCGGAGTGCTCGGCACCTCCCCCAGTTGAGTTTGAACATCTCCAAGGATGGAGATTCTGCAGCCTCTTCAAGTACCTACCCCAATAGTTGGCCACCCTCATGGTAAAAAATTAAAAAAAAAAAAAAAAAATTGTTTCCTTTATCCAGTTGGACTTTTCCGTGTTCCAGTTATGCCTGTTGTGTCTCATTACTGTGCACCCTCAAGAAGACACCATTTCTGTCTTTGAAGACAGCAATAGTATCTCACCTTGGTCTTCTCGTAAGGCTGAACAAACCAGCTCGCTCACTCGTTCTTGTATGGGTGTTCCAACTTGTTAGCCACCCCAGTGTGCCTTAAATATACAAAATCCAGGATGTCATTGTGTCTTGTACTGGGAAACCCAAGGCTGAACACAGTACTCCAGATGTGATCTCACAAGTGCCAAATGCAGGGGAGGAATCACAGCCCTGGACCTGCTGGCAGTACTCCTGTGAATACAGCCCAGGATGTGCTGCCTGTCTTTATTGTAAGGGCACGCTGCTGGCTCTTGTTCCTCTTATTGTGCTCCAGGACCCCCATGTCTTTTTTCTGCTAAACTGCTTTCTAGCCAGCCAGTGCCCACCTTGTATTGCTGCACAGGGTTATTCCAGCCCCCATGCAGGATGTTACATTTTCCTGTGCTGATCTTCATGGGGTTCCATTTGTCCAGCTTGTCTAGGCCCTGACTTCTGGCCTATTGACCACTCTCCCCATGTTTGGCATTGTCCACAAACTTGCTGAGAATATGTTTTGTCCCATCAGCCTTATTGATAATAAAGATGTTAAGCAGTATTGATGCCAGTATGAATCCCTAAGGAAACATCAGGGTTTGAAACATCAGTATCTCAGCAGTTGCCTAACAGGTGCAGTTTTGCACTTACACTGTATTTAACAGGCTGTGGTATGTTCCCTATAAGTTAAGTCACTGCAGTTGTCTTGTACCAAAGTGAGGACTAATAGTTTCCTCTCAGGAAAAAAAAGCAAAGGTGAAGCTTAGACTAGTACAAGTCATGTCTGAAAAGAGCAAAACTGCAGCTGCCAACCCATGGAAGCCAATAAAAGTCCAAAGCGTGTGCACAGCAACTGTCTGAAATGACTTTGTCAGTGGAAGAGATGCATACTTTGCCAAAACAGTTCAGCTGCTTTCCCCATCCCCTGATCATTACTTCAGTCAGCTGCAGGTTAAACTAACTTGTTCTTTCTCTAGTTTCTGCCTGAGATGCCTTGTATCAGTATTTCTTAAATAGGATAAAATGATGTAAAAAGTGACTAGATTAAACATGTTCAGAGTACTTTATCCTGTCCTTCAGTGATGATTATTTCAGAACATACAAGTGAGAATAAAATGAGGAAGAGTGTAGTCATCTTGTGCTCTTCAGCAAGTGTTATTGCCAGAAAAACATCCTCTGGGATTTCTTTGAGGACAAAAAAATCACAAAAGGACAGTCCTAATTACTCTGATTACAGTCATAAGATGAGTCAGTAACTTGTGATTGGTGGTGTTACCAGTGGATTAGAGGTCAAATGTGGTCACTGTCAGCTGCCTGTTTTTTGTTTTGTTGTTAGTCAGTTGCTCTATAGTGTCGGTGTGATGTCTTGCCCCTTTCTATTTCAAGTTGTCAGTTAAAATTCACTGTCACTAAATGAAGGTCAGAACCTCTTCACTTAGAGGTGATTGTTCACTAATTAATATTTAGATTTAGGCAGCTGAAATCATCTTTCAAGTGAACAAATATTTGCATTGTAAAATGCACTGTGTAACTGTAGTAGGTGGCTGTCTTGGAAGTTCCTTAAGCTGATCTGTTCCCTCGCTGTGGCTTTTCAAAAACACAGCTGGAACATGTCGATTATATGGTGCAAAGCAAACATACATAGTTGTCTATGCTGTGCTATTATGTTGTGTAAGCAGCTGGCTTTTTTCTGTAGGTCTTGAGCATTTTGATAGCAACACTTTCTATTTAAAATACATATTCAACACACACACACACAAAAAAAGTAACAGTAATATCACTGTCAGAAGACAAATTCTTCTGTAGTTGATATCCCTCATTGAGGATCCATTTTCTCCTTCCTACCCATGGTAGTCCCTCTTTTCATGTCTCCTATGGCCTTAACCTTGCATAAAACATTTGGTTTCTCACTCACTATTTATCAAGTCCTAAATTCCTGTGTCCTGTACCTGTGTTCTGTTAAGAGGTAGCTGGTCATGAGTGGTGTGCTGTGATTGATCAGCCAGCTGATGAACCAGAACAGACCATGTCAAACTCAAATTACAGAATTTAAGTGGTACTTACTTGGTGTTCTGTCCCCTGAGTGGCCATAGGGTCCATCTGTTGTTGTTGTGCCATCATCCCCCCTGGTTCTAGGAACTTGGTATATTGCAGATGCCTATTAAGTGTAGGTTTAAGTAGTCAGATTCTTAAATTATCATAGGGCAAATTGATAGTTATAGCCAGGAGTTACCTAAAGAGTAATAGCAATATTATCACAATAAAATTGAGGGACTTGACTAACTAAGTATATTTTTTTAAGATTCTTACCCCTGAAAAATAAATAAATTTTAGTATTAGAAATGCAAAAAAAAAATCATAGCTTCTAGTTAAAATACATAGATGCAAGCGTATATCTCAATTTCCTGAGAGATAAAATAAATTATACAAATCATGACTGTAAGAGAATTTATTTGTAGAACAACAGTGTACTGTATATATTGGTTGCATCAATCCCAACTGTTCTTTAATGTTGTCACCTTTTCATAATAGCAGGGGTTTTCATATATACCGAATAATATTTATTCTATTTGTGCAATTTAAACAGTGTTCAGTATCTTGCCTAAGCTTTAAGTTCTGATTACTTTTCCAAAAGATTCCTTCTTTATTTCAGCCAGGAAGAAGTTATCTGAGCTTGTTTTGTCTTCTGGTGTCATCTGCTTAAGTTTGCCAGAAAGTTGCCTTCTTATTAGGCAGCTGGTATGGGGTGATACAGAAAGGAAGAAGGGTGATGAAGGAGCCAAATTTCTGGTTTTGATTAGTATTCAGTTGTTGGATTTGATCTGATTAGTGTTCAATTGTTTATTTTTAGATGGGTCCCTAATTCTTGGTCAGCTGTTGGTTACAGGAAGAGGTTTACCCAAAATCTGCAAGCTAAAAGGGACGATAAAGGATTCTTGCACACAGAACTGGGATAACTGATCATTACAAACTCTTTGTGCAGAGGAGACTACTACAGACTTCTGTCTTTTACCCTTCTGTCACCACATATACTTCAGGAAAATGCAAGGGGATTTTGGACTGAAAAGTCTGAAAATGCCTATGAAGGCTTGCATTTCAAATTTTTTGTAACTTTGATTATTTGTCAAGAGCCTTGTTTCACCTTATTTCAAGTTTTAGTCTTTTTAAGTGACAAACCAAACCCACCCTTTTCTCTCTCCAGGTCTCCTGCAAGCGCAGAATCTCTTAACGCAACTACCTCAGCAAAGCCAAGCCAACCTCCTGCAGTCTCAGCCAAGCATCACCCTTGCCTCGCAGGTCAGGCTTATTTCTACAGTTCATGAGTTGTTTTGAGGGGACTTACACTATTTCAAGTGAATGGACCCTCTGTATTAGTTACCAGAGTAAGATACTGTAGCTTTAAGAGTGAGTTTGTCTTCCTAGATAGATTCAGTGTAGAGCTGAAGTATCAGTAAGTTTAGTTTTGTAGTTTCCACCCTAATGTGCCTCTTTTCCTGCATTTAACATTCTAAATTTTTTTTTAGCTGAAAATTTCCATGATTGGTATCTTGAGTTAATGACACTAGAGCATCATTTGATTTCTTGCAAGGTTTTCTTGGACAGTCTCCAAATTTGTGAAATTCAGAGGAGCAAGATGTGAGCTACCTAAAAAGCTCAAAAAGAGGATTACTGACTAGTATCTTTTTTTCTAAAGATTGCGGTGGTAATCTATCTTTATTGTAGCCTAGTTGTTTTGCTATTATTGCTAAGTCATCGCCAGTCTTATTAGTTACCCTCTGTGAAAGTGAATAGATTGTTAGGAATGCATTAAAATATTCTGTTAGATATATGTTAAAATATTAAAGCTCTATGATTAAGCTTTCAGACTGTACGAAAAGCAATTTTAAGGTTGCACGTGCTTGCAAATTTAATTCTGCTTCACTCTGGGTTTTACTGTGCAGTTTAGTTACATGACTGCATGCTGTTTCTCAAATACCATGTAATATACAGTATCTTCCTGCCAAGCTGGTTACATACAAGAATTTTTTAGTCTGTAATAAGGTGCCTGAGTCTATCAGAGTCTTAGAAAACTACATTTTCTATTATATCACTGATAGTATTTTTCATGCACCATGTGGAAAATGGAATTTGTCTCTCCTCTGTAGTTCATACCTCAGTTAGCAGCATGACTCCCTACTTAAGATTATACTTGGATTTACAGAAGTATCAAAACTGCAAAGAGGAAATAAATTATATGAAGGGGGTGAGGTCAGTAAAGACATGCTGCAGTAATTACTCACTAAGTTTAATGTAAATTAAAAAATATTAAAAACCTTTATAGTGTGACAGACATATCTGCAATCCTAGAAAGATCATATATGATCACATTATTTCTCAAGTAACGGAATTATAGATCCTGACCTCCCTCTACCATCTGCTGTGCACTGCAAAATACTGCACTAACCCAGGAGAAAAACAACATAAGGAGCTACAGAAAGACTCGGCTATATGTAGGCTGTTTCTTTTAGAACTGCTGTTTCTGGACCTTTGCGCAGATTTTGCATAGTACTGTAGTGTTGCATAGACTTAGGGCTGTTCTTATTTGCCCTGAAGGAGTCTGTAGTTTCAAAACTGGGCATAGGACACAAAAGCATGAAATCAACTTAACAGCCTCAGCTGAGCTGAGTAGAATTTAACTAGAGTAAATGATTTGTCTCTGTATCTCAGTTCATCTATGGCATGTAAGAAGGTAGAGTTATGCACTCAAAACATGTTTCCAATGTTCCTGTTGAACTGGGCAATACCAGATCTTAATATATTTTGTTCACCTGTGAATTTTTTCCATGATGCTCAGGTTTTTTTCAGATTCTTATTATTGCTGCATAGCAAAATGTTCTAGTATGCCAATGTTCAGGAATAATGAACCTCCTGTGGACTTCCTGGAAAATTAAACTTTCATATAGAAGAAAAATGTAACCTAAAAGGAATTGTCTACAGGTTACCTTTGCTTAATTTTTTGTTTCACCAGTACATTAATTCTTACTGTTGCAAGTGTCAACAGAAGGGTTACAGGTACATCTATTTTTTTTCTTACTGGAAGAGTCGAGTCAGTCACAAGAGATGGCATTAGAGGAAACATGCCATGTTTGCTGCGCTTGTATGTGCTCACTGTTCCAAGATTAAATAGGAAACTTGAATCTTTTGGGCTGATGACAATCTGCCACCTCACACAAGCAGTAAATTCAATTTTAAAATGATTAAAAGGGGATGAATGCCAAGCTGTCTCTAAATGATAGAACTATATCAAGTAAGAGTGTTCAGCTTTTCTTTGAGCAGCTTCTGTAGCAAGTGAAAGTTGTTGGTTATCTGCTGCATTGAACATCTCTTACTTTTCTTTAATTGGTTCTGACAGAGTCTTTAAAAGGCTGTCATACTAATACAGTTTTCTGGATTGTGATTGCTCATTCTTGTGAGGAATGTAAATAAAGTGGAGGAACTTTCAGGTTGCTGGAAATATCAAATTCATTGCTTTTTCTCACAGAAACCTCACATACCATTTTTGAATTTAATTTTTGCTGATTATTCTGTTAAGTCTGATTTTAATCTTTTCCTTGCTATCTTAATAGCCAGCAACCCCAACACGCACAATAGCAGCGACCCCCATTCAGCCACTTCCACAGAGCCAGTCAACACCAAAGCGAATCGACACTCCCAGCTTGGAGGAGCCCAGTGACCTTGAGGAGCTTGAGCAGTTTGCCAAGACTTTCAAACAAAGACGGATCAAACTTGGATTCACTCAGGTGAGACTACGTACCTTAGTGCCTGCCAGTGTGGAATCTGAGGTCTCATCTTTCAAGTCTGGAGGGAGACTACAATTCCACCTTTTCCTAGGAGAACCTTCTTAAATAGGGTTATGCTCTGGCCTTTATGTAGGGGATTTCTAAGAAGTAACAGAAAAAGCCATACGTCCATCTTACTTCCCTGTTGGTTTTAAAGCATAGCCATTTTCCCAGCAGGTACGTGCATTTACGAGCTCCCGATGTCATTGCATGTGCACTATTCATTCTATAGGATGTCAAATGAATGGGACAAAGTACTTTAAAGCTTCCTTCAGAAGTACAAAGTTCCAAAAATCATACAGCACAATTAACTGCTCTGTGTGTTTAAAAAGTATATCACAACTGTGGAGTTGCTTTGGATGTCAAAGGGTTTTTATCTCTTAAGTGTATTATTACCATTACTATTAAACATCAATGGTTTCTGTATTTAATGCGTTTGCTAAGGTTCCTAAACAAAACCTGAAAGGACTGTCACCTTTGAAGTTCTCTCCTTACAGAGGTGAACTGGAGTTGTAGTTTGTTTTGGTTTGCTTAAAAGCTCAGAAATACCCATAGAGCAAAAGAAAAGTAATCTTGAACATAGTGAAAATGGTTGAATGAGGAGTACAATTAAAAGTACAAAGTACATTTATATGTTCCATTATTCTGTTGAAGGGAAATGCTGCTTGGATGCAAGAGTTCTTTCTTATTAATATCAAAACGATTTTTTTTTCTGTGCAAAATATAAATATCTGTCCAGCTAAACAGAAAATTTTGGCAGGAGTCTGTGGTAAATGTGGGCATGTTTCTGCTAGAAGAAATAGCATGCAGAAAACAAAGTAGGTGTTTAAAAGTCTGAGCTCAGAGCAGTGAATCCAACATACGTGATTTGGTCCCCTCCCCCCACCCCCAATAAGTAAATCTATCTAGCTGAAAGTATGTGCTGAAGTCAGATTTATATTTCTGGCAGAGTCCTAAATGTTTGAAAAATCAGGGTTCATAATGAAAGTTCCTGGCAGCGTCTTAATTATAACTCAAGAACAGAATGTTCTCAGTAAAATAAAGTGCGCTTTGCTGGCGTGTGTGCCGCCTTCCCTCCCTTCTTTCCACTAGAGGGAGGCACAGAAATACAAGCGATGGACACACACAAAAGCTAGAATAGAGCAGAACAGAATAGAATAAAATACAATAGCTTCCCTGTAGCCTGACTGAGGAGGTTCATGTAGATCTTTAGTTATTATGTTTAATCTGCCCTGCTGTGAGGTGATTATAAAGGCCCAACTAGACTTTTTAAGTTATGGGTTAACCCTTCTTTATTGACCCTGTTGTGAATTTTCATGATGAGGAAAAATGAACACAACTGCTTGGGCTTACGTTTCAGTATTTGCTTTTGAGATCAAAAAAGGGGAATCTTGAGATCAAGTGATAAAATTGCATTTGATCTTTCCTATCCTACTCTGAGTTTGTATCTGTATAATTAGGCAGTTCTGATAACTTCTACCTAATTGCATAAATGGATGATAATTAGAGACCCCTATTACTTTGGTTTCCTATAGTTGGATAAATAGCCTTTCAGAGGATAAAAGAAATTTATTTCCAATGGTACTGTAAGCTTTCTCAGACTCATGCCACCCCTGCTTTTCAAAAATAATTGTAAGATTTAGTTTGCATTGCGAACTAATCACTTACTACATTCTGTCTTGTGAACAATATAACATGTTTTGAATTTCAGCAGTTCTGTCTCTTCTGCCACCGTGAAAAGTGGGTGATGGATTTAAATCCTTTTGTTTAATTGTTTTCCTTAAAAATATCTCTGTTTTTGACATACAGAGACACAATGAGCATACTGCATCTTAGCATTATTGCAGGTATGTGACTAATTGATCGGTACAGATTCAAGCTATGCGAGTGAAAATTTTAGACAATGTTATTTTTATTCTATAAAAGGTGTTACCTCTGCTAGTCTGTCTGAGCTTCTTAACAGACCAGTACATACAACAATGATGTACCTTATAATCAGTTTCAGTTCAGTACCGTTGCTACAGAGTAGATCAGATGTGTATACAGTGCCTTTATCCTCTGTTCCATCCATCCTTTCAGTGGCCCATTCCAATAAAATTCTCATCCCAGTATGTAAATTCCTTTGCCTACAGCTGAAATGCTGCCATCTTTTGGCATTGAAAACTACTGACAAAAAATGGTTAACTATTCATTTTAAATCAGATGGCAAATGTTAGTAAGAACAACATAAATAACAGAATTAAATTTAGCTGGGGGACTGGAGCAAATTTCATAACTCTTTCCTGCCAAGACATAAATCAACTTATCTCTAAAATGGTTTCCATAGCCAGCTTTTCTTCTTCATAAACTCAGTAGAGCATCCATGTTACTTCTCTTGGAATGATTTATGAGGTTTAAAATGCACAGAATCCTGGCATATGGGTAGAGGTATAAATGTGAGTTCCCATGTATTTCCTCTGATTGAAGGGCGTACAAACCAATTGTTCTGGTCCTCTTCTAGAAAGGAAATTGTTTTCTTTACGCAACCTGCACAATTTACTAAGCTTACCAATGTTTTTTTTCTTCCTCGCTTGGATGTGGCCACTCTGCATGCTATTAATATACTTGTATCAAGTTGTGGTTGTGGATCAGACCAAAAAGAAAAGAAAGCAAGCTTTATGCACAATCCAACTAACCCACTTCCAATTAAACTCCACTAACTATGCTGAAGCTTTTCAGTTTCTTCGTCCAAACTTTTTGTGCTTTTTTTGTGTTAAGAAATGAAAATCTAAATTAAACTACTTTAGACCAAATAACATACTTTAAAAATAATTTCATTTTTGTCAAAGGGGAGGATCTTCCAGCTTTAAAACGAAACAAGAAAACATTATGGTGGTTTTAATTCCCACAATCAAGAGTGGATTGATTTATTTTTTTTTAAGAACAAGACTTTCCAAGTGTAAACTACATAGATGTATATATATGCATATATATATATTAGGATAAGCAGAATGTCTGATAGCTAACTAAAACTGAGTTTTGAAAGGCAATAACAGATGTAAAGAGATGATCATCTGTCTGTAAATCTCCTGGATAGCTTTTTGGCAGATGGATAATGGTAGTGAAGACTACACTTCACTATTTGAAATGTTTCAACTTCTTATCCGCTTTGAAATGTGTATCTGTGGGGAGACGTTTAGTTTGAACCTCAGAAGACAGTAAAAGTTCAGATCAGAATATTTTTGCATCTATTTAAATGTGATATATGTTTGCAGACATCTTTTCAAGAGTGTTTTCAATAGAGTTTTTCAAGAGCGTTGAGAACATGAATTCACTGCATTTCTGCTTATTTGAACTTTACTTCTTTGGTGTGAAATATGCAGATACTTAAATCCGCTCCTAAAGAGAGCTTGGCCTTTCCTTATTTTAAAGAACTAAGAGAAAAGTTACAAGTTAATATTCAGTGGAATGTTCTGCTCAGTGATAATGCTAAGAAGACAAAGCATCAGAGATTCCCTGGAAAGAGTTACATGGTTAAACTGACTGAGGTTTAACATTTCTTTATGGTTATTTGCTTTAGCATGAATCTTGGTAGCGCTGAGCAAGTTTCTGTGAAAATGAAATCCCACGCAACAGTGAAGTCACTAAGAGAACACAAGAACGTGACAGGATTCCTTGCTTTGGAAGTGCCTATGTTAGTGAATCCCTTTTTTCTCTTTCTTTGTCCAGGGTGATGTTGGGCTCGCTATGGGCAAACTCTATGGAAATGACTTCAGCCAAACTACCATCTCTCGCTTTGAAGCCTTGAACCTCAGCTTTAAGAACATGTGCAAGTTAAAGCCACTTCTGGAAAAGTGGCTCAATGATGCAGGTGAATGAGTCTGTGTATTTCTTCACCAGCTTACCAAAATCAGTAGGATTCTGAAAAAACCCTGAAAAACTGCTTCGTTTGTACCCTTATGGTTTTATGAAGCCGCCAATCTTTGTACAAATCCATGGGACAAATAAGGGTGTAGGAATAAGGGTCCATACTTCCGCCTTCGTATGCTTATACACATCCAAAATTGTTCCAATATGAACTTTCAGAATTGTGTTCTGCAGACAGCTGAATAATTGCATGGGGTGAGGTATATTATGTGTCATGGTTTTCCTTCTTCGTGTATGTTAATGCATATAACGTCTAATCCTCTTCTAGCTTTCTTTTTCAGATGTGTTGTAGAGAGAGAGTTGCATGGTTTGTTGTTTCAGTAGGCAGAGCTTATTGCATTCATCTCTTCCCACACCCCTGTGTGCGTTCTTTTTGTCTCTCTCCAAGGGTCTGTATGAACACTCTCTTTCTCCCCATAGGACAAGTTTTTTCTGGGTTAGGTTTTGCTTTTTCCTTCCGGAATTATTTTTTACTGGGATGTTCATGATCCCGGTGTTAGTAGTGTTCTTTTTTTTTTTGTTTTCTTTTTTTTTTTACCACCGACAAAAGGAGCTTGGATGGTGGTGCTAGGTGTTAGGATAGAAAGTCTTGAAGAGTGCTGTCAGCCAGTTTTTTCTTCCCGGTATACAATTGTACAGAGGATAAAACTGATGGATCTGCTAAACAGATGGGGGGGATGTTGTGTGCCTTCCTATTTTTACCAAAATGAAGAGAGCTTTATGCTGGTGCCTCCAGTATTCTCTGAAATTCTGAAAGTAATTGGATGCAGTGTTGAAAATTTGTCCTGCATTGAAACAAGGAAGTGTCATTCTGTTGTGCTGTCAGGCGTTGTCTTTAGGTAATGTAGATTTATGATAGAAAACATAACCATCTTCACACTGAGTGGTCTAGTCCACAGGCCAGTGGTCCCCAAACCTTCCAGCAACACTGGATGAGTCCAGTGCTGCAAGGAATGTCATAGTTTGCTTTTCATAGAATCGTTATGACTGGAAAAGACCTTTAAGATCATCAAGTCCAATTGTTATCTAACTCTACCGGGCCCACTTCTAAACCATGTCCCTGAGCACCGTATATAGATGGCTTTTAAACAAACCCAAGGATAGCAATTCAACTACTTCCCTGGGCAACCTGTTCTGGTCTTTGATAACCCTTTCAGTGTAGAAGTTTTTTCCTAATATCTAACCTAAACCTCCCCTGGCACAACTTGACACCATTTCTTCATGTCCTATCAGTTGTAACTTGTGAGAAGAGACCAACGCTCACCTCTCTACAACCTCCTTTCCTGCTAGCCTGAAGAAATACTTGGATCTGTAAAGTTAAGGACTGTAAACAGTGTCATGGTCCTTCACAGCCTGGAAGTTGGGAACTGTTGTCTTTGGCTGTGATTCAGTTTCATGAAAATCTTTGGAAGAAAGATTCAGATGACTTTTAAAGGCTACTTTTAGGTAAAGGCAGGAGAACCATACCGATGATCCCTTCCATTACGTTACATTAGAGTGTTGGAGAATTTATTGTTGCAGAACTCAGCTTGTTCTGTGGGGTTTTCAGGATGGAGAGGCGTTTCAGCACATTTATGGGTGCCATTACTGGGGGAAAAAAAAATCTAGAAAATAATGAACTTGAATGTACTTGCCCATTTGAGCCTACCAGAATGATGTTAGGCATTGTGAACTTTGACACCAGCTTATTACCCACAAATGCCAGTGCAGTGAGGGATCTCCAGCCATAATTAATCGTTTTGTTTAAATTCCCTGCTGGAACCTGCCTGTTGGTTATTTTGCACTTTCTGCTACAAAGTGGGGTCAAGTGGGTTCTCTTTGCTCCTCTGTGTATCCAAAAAGACAGGATTAGGGGTTGAGAGCTAGAGACCTAGTGAAGCTAAGGAGGGGGAGCTGCTAACTATGTAGGATGTCAGGTAGAACCGCATAGCACTGAATATCTGCTAAGACAGAGAAGAGGTTGAACACTGTGAAGCTGACTGTGAACTTCTTCTTCTAGTGAATTGCAGAGTGGGTAAAAGAAATTTCAGGCAGCTCAGATTTTTTCATAATTGGCTGTGACTTACAGCTGTGGCTCATGGATATCAATTACTGCTTTTTTCTTTAAACTATGACTTGCAGTGAATGAGTGTGGGGTGGAATGAGATAAGGGGACACCAACTTTGTATAAGTATTATAAAAGGGATACTGGGGTAGCATACAGTAGCAGAGAGCACCCTCTGGGCTTACTTGTAACTTTTAAGTTTCAAGTATATGTTGTAATTTACAAATGATTTAATTTACAAGTAATTTAATGCATGTGATCTTCAGAAATCTCTATATCTGGAATAGCTACAGAGTGGGTTTTGACATACCTTGCACAGGTAAAGAACACTTGTATTAGACTGCACTGCATTCAAATAAAATATCCTCATTTATGTTACTTTCTTTTTTCAGAAAACCTCTCATCTGATTCAACTCTCTCCAGCCCAAGTGCCCTGAATTCTCAAGGGCAAGGGATTGAAGGCTTGAACCGTAGGAGGAAGAAACGCACCAGCATAGAGACCAACATACGTGTGGCCTTAGAGAAGAGTTTCCTGGAGGTCAGTGATCCTGTTGCTCTGCTCAGCCTACAAAGAAATGAAGAAACTTTGCTTAACAATTATGTCTGTTAGAGTGAACCCATCACTGTGTTATTTAGCAAAGTGCTTGTACTAAACAAGGTGAATGCAAAGGCTGTGCCAAGAAGCATGCATCAAAGTCTGCTTCACTTTAAAAAAAAAACCCAACAACTACAAAACCCCTCAAAAAAACCCTCATTGGTTCTTGCAGTTCACTGACTTTTGTGATTTTACATTCCAAGATACTGAGCCATAGATCTAAGCTTGATGTTCTGCACATCAAAAAAAAAAATTACCCTTTCTGAGGATAGATAAATGGGGTGACACATACATAATGTGAAGTTTTTAGCTGGCCTTATGTTACTCTTGTTAGGCATTTTGTGCAGCTGTATGGGCAGGTAGCCTCTGTAAGTACCCTGTCCAATCTACATGTCTTTCATTACAGGTCTAGACAACTTGGGGTTCATTTGGCTGTTGCTATAATTAATCTCTCCTGTTCCTTTACGAGAGATGCTGAAAGAAAGATTTCCTCATCAAAGTCTAGAATTCCTTGAAGGATTAACTCACAAGTCAGATCCCTTCTCTCAAAAAGAATCATGCGAGCTTAACCTTCATCACCTATCTCTGAGGAACACAGCTTACTATTGGTAGAAATGTTCCTGTAACTAGGAAGGTGGAGGGCTATCTCTACTGTACTGCTGACCAGGTTCTGAATATAAATGGCCCATCCAAATTTCTGCCTAGTGAAGAAGCAGCTATATTGTAAAACTTCAGAAGGTAATTTCACAGCTTTTCAAGTACTGTTTTATTTTCTCAGAACCAAAAGCCTACCTCGGATGAGATCACCATGATAGCTGACCAGCTAAACATGGAGAAGGAGGTGATCCGCGTTTGGTTCTGTAACCGGCGCCAGAAGGAGAAAAGGATCAACCCACCCAGCAGTGGTGGAACCAGCAGCTCGCCCATCAAAGCAATTTTCCCTTGCCCAACCTCACTGGTAAGAATCAAGAAACTGTGTTGACAAAAATCACTGGAAGAGATAGTTCTACTGTGCTCACTGTAGAAGTTGCACATGCTATACCTTCTTTGTACAGAAGGCTTGTTCTCACAAATTTATTTTTTACTGGCATTTTAAATACCCTACTTACATACTACCCAAGAGAGATAATGCTTACAAATCAGGCACTAGTTGGGCCTTCAGTTTGGGTGTTTTATTTAGTCAGTTTGTGGGTAAATATTCTGGCTGGCAAATTTGCAGTTGGAGTTACTGCTTTGAGCATATTCCAGGCAGTAACTCCAGTTTATATCTGGACTTTCTCTCTTGCCCAAACTCTTTTTATAAAATAATAGCAATAAAAAAAATGCTTAACGTCTCTACTGCTCCCCTCTTATTTTGACTGCTCTGATAAGTAGATGAGCAGCAGTAAAACATATCATTTGGAGACTAAGGTCACACAAATCCAACGGTACTGTTGTCACTTTTAGTTAGGAATGATTTATATAAAAAAAAGACATGGAACAAAGGAACAATTTAGCTAATACTCATGTAATTAATTTCCCACACTTGTATTTGCCTCAGGTAAACACAAACTTCATGAAAATAAGAGTAACAAAACACATGCATCAAGGTTCCTTCAGCTCCTTTGCTACCAATGTCCATGGAGGTCTGTTTTCATAAATAGAAACAGTAGCTATTAGATTTCATAGTAGCTATGCTAATAGGAATGTGGTGGAATTTATGTAGCCTGTAGCTGTCCTTTTGTAGTATTTATTCCACCCTCATCACTGTAGTAGCTAATATCTTCCAGTACTTCATTAAACCATTAATTTTGGTGACATGTCATTCTTTCCCCTCATCCATGTCTCAGGATGTGTGCATGCAACCTTTTGTTTCAGGGGAAGGGATGTGTTAAATGTACTTAGTCTTCTTTTTTTTTTTTTTTTTTTGGAGAGCAAGGTTGCATACCTTGCTACCCGAGCAAAACACAGTGAGATTTATGATAGTGTGTTTTAGTAACCATGCAAGTTTACTCAGACTGCAACTTAAGAAAGTTTTCCTACATAAATTTCCCTTTTGTTATAAACTGCCATTGTTTGTAAGAAACTGAGGTGTTTACCACAGTCTCTATTTTTTCAGTGATGTTTCACTAAGCATTTTCACTCATTGTAAGCTTCCCTTAAGACTGACTGTGCTACCGCTCAAATGGATGTTCCAGCCCTGCTGCTCCCAGCCTTCACTGGCTATGTTCTTTGTTGATTCTTTGTGTCAGTTCTGGAGATTATGTATCCATAGGATGATTTGGCTTAGTTTACTGCAAATTAAATGCAAATTTACTGCAAGTTTACTTAGTTGACTGCAAATTAACCCTGTGAAGAACAATGGTGAATTTTCAGTATGGCTAGATAACCAATCTGACTTTTAGCCTGGCTGCACAAGCGCTAGGGCTCTGAAGCAGGATTGGAGGGGAGTGCTCCTTTTGATGGCAGCCTACCTTTGCATTGGCTGAAGTCAGTCATTGTAACCATGGGGTTAGCTGTATTAATTCTAGGTGATTCACTGCCCTGAAACATGGATTGTGACCTTGGCCTTAACTCTTAGGTGCACAGATGACAGGTACAATGTCTGGGCTGCTTTAGTGAGAAGTGTACTATGTATCTAGCTCTTCTGTATTTCATATCCTATTTGAGATGGGCAGAAAACTTTTAGGTCTTTCCCAGTTGCCCCAGTCTTGTTTAAAATCCATGAAGCATTTAACTTCCTGTAAGAGGATATCCAGCATGAGAGAGATTTCTCTGATAATGAGCTTAAGGTAAGAGAGGGGAAAGGAGGAAGGTTTGAGCCTATATCCTTGGCTATGTTCTCTTGGGCAATTCTAAAGGATTCATTTCTCTCATTGATGTATAACAGCTTTCAAATATTACTGTTGGACACCATTTCTCGTCAATAAAACGTCCTTTCTCTATTTATATTTCATTTTTCCTCATAAACTAGTTCCTCCAGCCTTAAATCTTTGGTGTTTTTTATCTGTAAGGTCTCCAGTTTATTGTAGCTTTCTTGTAATAAACTCTCCACAAGTAAAATTAGCTAATGTCATTTGAATGTTTTAAAATTCAGAGATCCTTCCTCTGGCACAAGGAAACTTACCACAGTAGAGCTTATAGTTTGATTGAGTAAAAGCAAAATGTTATTCTGTTTATCCATGTAAACACATTGCCTTAAATACCTTTGGTAATGCTGGGGCACTAAAATAATTTTATCAGAGAAAGATCAGATGGAGTTCAAAAGATGTTTAAATGAGAAATAAAAACATGCAGAAATAATGTATTTTATAACTCTTTCTATAAGAGTGACTCTATTAAACAAGGTGCTGTCTTTGGGGGGAGGCAGAGAGGGAGGGCTAACTTGCAGTCCCGAAACAGTATGGGTGTATTGGATATATCTCCCTTCGAATACTGAAGGATTAAGAATAAAGATATTGCTGGTAATTGGAGAAGGTACTATGGTTGGTCCACTGAATGCTAAAGTAATAGAATTACAAAAAAGTTGTATACGCAGTGTTTTCCCTGCTAAATTCCTCAGCTGAGGATGGGAAGAAAGAAATCCAAGTCTAGTAGAGCTAACTCTTTTTGTCTTTTAACAGTTGAGCAATTGTATTCTTTTTTGACCTCCAGGTGGCAACCACGCCAAGCCTTGTGACTAGCAGTGCAGCTACAACCCTGACTGTCAATCCTGTGCTCCCTCTGACCAGTCCTGCTGTAACTAGTCTGTCAGTCACAGGTAAGGGCTGATTTCTCTTGCCCCCACAGTAACCTCTACCATTTTCCCCCTTTAAACTCTTCAAAAAGTCATTCAGTATTGGTCACTGGTATCCCAGGACATTGCTGTCATTGTTCCTTGTTACTCTACTAGGAAATTCCAGTCTTTGTGACTATTCTGGGGGTAAAATCACAGGTGATGCTGAAATGAAATATGCTATATTCCATTGCTAGCTTCTAGAGCTCCGCAGCCTCCTGTTGGGAAGTGTCATTTCATTGTAGTCTGAGCTTCTCATTTGGACTCTTGGTGCTTCTTGGTCCTACAGAAATGTGTGTTTGTCTCCCTTTCAGTTGGATGTGCAGTTCAGTTCAGGTGGGTAGTGGTTTCTGTTCAGTCATATCTGTGTATTGTACTGACCTAACCAGAATCAATTTTCCAGGCACAACAGAAACCACCTCCAACAACACGGCAACAGTGATTTCAACAGCACCTCCAGCTTCTTCAGCAGTGACATCACCCTCCCTGAGTCCTTCCCCTTCTGCCTCAGCCTCCAATTCAGAGGCATCCAGTGCCAGTGAGACCAGCACAACACAGACAACCTCCACTCCCTTGTCCTCCCCTCTTGGGACCAGCCAGGTGATGGTAACGGCATCAGGGTTGCAAACAGCGGCGGCAGCCGCATTACAAGGAGCTGCACAGTTGCCTGCAAATGCAAGTCTTGCTGCTATGGCTGCTGCAGCAGGACTAAACCCAGGCTTGATGGCATCCTCACAGTTTGCAGCTGGGTAAGGATGAATTTTTCCCACACTTTTGGGTGAGATGACAGAAGAGGGAAGGAGAATTCTTAGGATAAATTGCTTTTATATATCGCTGTTTTCTGGGAGCTCACTTGGTGATTCTAGTGTCATTCATCTCAAATTCTGAAGGTGTACTTATAGACAGTAACTGGCCATTCCCATCAATGTACACAAATGTTGTTTTCATTTTATGGATGAAAAAGCTGTGTTGCGGCAATCTTGTTATTTGATAAGTCGTCCATCCCACTGCAGAGCTTGACTTAAGAGCTGCAACTTACCAGTGAATCATAGAATCTGTTCTACTAATTGCAAAATGGAGAGCTAGCCTAGACCCACTTCACACCTCTGTTTTCATTTCTCCATCAGCGCAAGAAGCTGTAAAAGATGCATGATGATGTATTGTTGAAGTTTTAGCTTTAAAAATGTTGCTCCGAGAGATGACTCTTTCTTTTTTCAGTTCCTCTTGATTTACATCTTTCTTATCTGAATTTGGGAGATGATGATAGCTCTCTAACGAGTAGCAGTTTCCCCAAAATACTTTACAAGAATATTTTGCAGCAACAGTCAATACAAGTCATGTATTTACAGTGCCTGTGTTTCAGGCATGTCACTAACTGCACACCTGAAAGGCAACATCTACTCAAGGAATCCTGAAGGAAAAACTAAAATTAGCCCTTAGTCTCTGGTCTTTCCTCCCTCCCCACCCCCTTCTTCTTTTTCAAAATATGATGGTGTAGTTATGAACAGTGACAACCTTTTAACAGTAACACGCCTCCCCTTTGTCTTTGTTTCTTCTTCCATGATCTTGCTTCCTGCAGAGGTGCCTTACTCAGTCTCAATCCAGGGACATTAGGTGGTGCTCTCAGCCCGGCCCTGATGAGCAACAGTACACTGGCAACTATTCAAGGTCAGTAGTGTTCCTTTTAATGCATCTTTGTCATACCACTTCAGTTTATGTGCTTTGTTTTTATCTACCAAACAGTGGCTCCTCAGCACTGGACATAAATGTTATATAAGTAAAGGTTTTACAAAATTTAAATGCACAGATACATGTATCACAGAGATAAGGAGCAGGTACAACTTCAGAAAGGGGATTAGAACTGTGTATGATCTTGTAGTGATTTACAGGAGGCATTTAAGATATTGAATGTGATCTGGAATTTATTTTGTTATCCTTCCCCATTGGCATGTATCTCCAGCAGGTTAGAGATTTGCTTTTTATAGCTCTTCCAGCATAAGCTTGAGCAGAGTTGCCCTGTTTTGAGGTCTGTTAGGAGGGCATTTTCAAGCAAGACTTGTTCCTGAATTCTTGTCCTCTTATGTATTTAAAGAGAACCTACAACAACCTACATCCTAAAGTCCTTATGTAGAGCTTCAAATCCATAAATCCTTATCCAGAGGAGTAAAGATTTATTTTGGAAGTGCCACGCAGCCAGCATAGTTGTTTTCAAGTTCATAGTTTGTCAACTGTAAAAACTAGATAGTGCAGGTACCTAAAGAGCTAGCTAACCTTTGTATTCAAATATCCTCTAAACTAGCTTAAAAAATCTTGTTTCCAGGGTACAAGAACAAACCATTTTGTAAAGTGTCACAGATAATTTAGGAGATCGTAATCTAAGGCAGCCTGAACCCTGTAGACCAATGAGAATAAGTTGTAACGGTAGTTGTATGTCAGCATTTAAAATGTTATGCTCAAGGTTACATGGCCTTCTTTATCATGTGGTAGCTGTCATTTCATACGAACACTCACCTCAACCCTTTCCAGTACAGGTTGCCTGAATGTACGGGTTTTCTGTGGTAGGAAACGTAGACTAGTATTGCATTTAAAGATCTGAAGAAAGGCATGATGGAATTAGTTTAGGAGCAGACAACAGAGGCATTTTGGTACCCGCAAGGCCTTGCCCACTCTTCATAAAGAGGTGTTTTTTAAAAAAACAACCTATGATCAGATGACTGTTCACAGAATCACAGAATGGTCAGGGTTGGAAGGGACGTCTGGAGATCATCTAGTCCAACCCCCCTACCAGAGCAGGGTCACCTACAGCAGGTTGCACAGGATGGCGTCCAGGCAGGTTTTGAGTGTCTCCAGAATGGGAGACTCCACCACCTCTCTGGGCAGCCTGTTCCAGTGCTCTGCCACCCTCAAAGTAAATAAGTTCCTTTTCATGTTTAGTTGGAGCTTCCTATGTTCAAGTTTCTGCCTGTTACCTCCTGTCCTATCACTGGGCACTGCTGAAAAAAGACTGCTCCCATTCACCTGGCACCCTCCCTTTAAGTATTTATAAGCGTTGATAAGATCCCCCTCAGTCTTCTCCAGACTAAAAAGACCTGATTCCCTCAGCCTTTCCTCATAAGAAAGATGCTCCAGTCCCCTTACCATCTTCATAGCCCTTTGCTGGACCCTCTCCAGCAGATCCCTGTCTTTCTTGAACTGGGGAGCCCAGAACTGGACTCAGTACTCCAGATGCGGCTTCACCAGCGCCCTCCTGGCCCCACTCTTTCTAATGCACCCCAGCATGCCATTGGCCTTCTTGGCCACAAGGGCACATTGCTGGCTCACAGTCACGCTGTTGTCCACCGGGACTCCCAGGTCCCTTTCGACAGAGCTGCTCTCCAGGAGGTCAGCCCCCAACCTGTACTGATGCACGGGGGACTGTTGTTAGTGGTGTAGAGAGCATGCATATCGGACAAAGGACAATACAGAGACCAGTTGCTTTTAGGCACATATTGCATTATTGCTTACTGCTAATGTTATCTCCTCCCTGCTCAATTTTCCTTTTTTTAGCTCTTGCATCTGGTGGCTCTCTTCCAATAACATCACTGGATGCAACTGGAAACTTGGTGTTTGCCAATGCCGGAGGTACTCCTAACATCGTAACTGCCCCTCTGTTCCTGAACCCTCAGAACCTTTCTCTGCTCACCAGCAACCCGGTTAGCTTGGTCTCTGCAGCTGCAGCCTCCGCAGGGGCCTCTGGACCAGTCGCCAGCCTTCACGCCACCTCCACCTCAGCCGAGTCCATCCAGAACTCTCTCCTCACGGTGGCCTCTGCGAGCGGGGCCACGTCCACCACCACTACTGCCTCCAAGGCACAGTGAGCCGGGCTGAGCTGTGCTGCCAGCAGCCTGTTTCACTGTGCGGTGGGATTGGCTGCCAGCGGGGTTTATAAACTGAAAATGTGATGGGCATCCTCTCGCCGTGTTGCTGGGGACAAGGGAGAGAAGGAAAAAATATAAAAAACAAAAGCAAAACAGGAAGGATTTAAAGCTGGGACAGACATTTGCCTAATTTTATAATAAACACTGTCTTTTCAGGATCGCTTCATGGATCGGAGAACTTTCTAACCAAAAATGTAAAAAAAACAAAAAACAAAAAAACAAAAAAACCACAAAAAAAGTGAAAGGACTACTTATCATTTCCAGCAGTCACAATGACAAGTTAAGGTGGGTTATCAACTCAGACATAGGAAGGGGATTTCTTCTTTCTTTTTGGTCTAAATATCTTTCTTTTTTAATTATCATTTTATAGGTCTGTTGTACAGGCCATTATGTCATACAAGGTGTTTATAATCGTATCAATCGTGTTGGGGGTTCCTTTCTTAACTGGTACAATTTAGGCAGGCCTGTATTACTGGTGTATCTCTATTATTATTATTATTATTATGATTATTATTATTTTTATATATATAGTTTGGACGCGTTTGTCTTTTGCTCCTGGATTATTTTCAGCGAGCTCCCACACCATGGGGGGAGGGCGGGAGGGTGGAGAGGAAGAATGGAGCACAAATAGACTTTCTATCCTAATCTTCTGGGAACGTTCTGAACAGTTTCCTCATCCTTGAATTTGTCTAATGGTTACTTGTAGGGATCAGAAGAATTTATGTTCATCATTTGCGCAGGAAGCTCAGTGTAGCAGTAGAGATCATTGTGTGCAAACTTCCAGGCTGGTCTATGCTTTTTAACCAGAGGTAGGAATTAGTTCCGAACTGCAGCTCTCCTTCTCGCAATTATTTAGATGAAATGGCCAAATTCTGCTCTTAACTTTGTGTGCATGGTTCCTTTTTACTTCTGAGAGCGGGGTTTGACCTCCTGAGTCTAGATTGTGTGACGTATCGATGGGTCTTCTGTTCTATTGATTGGATTTTACTGTTAAGAGCATACACAAATATTTAAAAAAATGTCATTATCCAAGCTAATTGGTAGTATGTAAAGCAGCATTTACAGTCCTAGATTCCTGCCAGGTGAATTGGTACAGGATTTCAAAAGATCAGATTCTCCCTATTCATAGCAATAGTCCTTTTCCATTTATTCTGATGCTTCCAACATTGTATTTAGAAAAATTTTCTAGTAAAAAAGTGCTTCTGACTGCAAACCACAGAAGCCAACAAATATGAGAGCAGAAGTTACCATTGTTTATGCCAACACAATAGAGCTGACTCTGGGCCTTTGCACATACCTGGGTGATCTCATGTAGTCTTTGAGCTGCGATGCTGCTAGCTGTGTGAAAATGGCAATAAGCATCTCTGACCAGAGTGTCAGGGCTTGCGTGCCACTCTAACGATCTTTTCAAGGTTGATTCTGATCCATGTAGCAAAGGATATTTACATGGATGAGGAAGAGTAATGAACTGTACAGAAGTTAGAGCTGTATATTCTGAAATATACAATCTAGTATCTGAACCAAAAAAGATTTTTAAAAAGAGAAGACTGGATCACTGCAATGCAGTTCACTTTGAACTTTCCATTCCTGATGGATTTAAAGGTTTCTGCCATGTGTATAAAACTAAATTACGTTTAGCTAGCGAGGGTATTAGAAGAATCCCTTTCCCCCAACCCCCTTTTCTTTTGTCACCGGAGTGTCCTAAAATAATGAGCTGATGCAGCTATGTTCATTTTGTTGATGATTCAGGGGGATCCTGGAGCTTCTCATCCAAGATCCGGAAGGCAGCAACTTTAAACTCTACATATGCTTTGGTTTGTGACCTGAGCATGTGGGATTTGTGTTTGCACTCAAGTGGCAGAACCCCTTATCTATCCCCCCACCGCCATGTTTTTGCTCTGTTCATCTCTAACTCTCCACCTTCCTGTTTTACTGAATATTTAAACCAATTACCCCTAAAACTTCAAAACTAGTGAACTGCAAGCAGGGAAACTAACAAATGTCCGTCCACCGTTTCTAATGTGTTTTGATTTTTTTATGTTTTATTTTTTTAAAACTAAGCTTGAACCAAAGTCAATTTCTAGCAAGCTGCTGTACTAATGGACTAGTTTGTATAAGTGCAGTTCAGATGCAGAGAGGCGATAGATGCTACTGACAATTTCTTTTTCATTTGTCTTTTGTTTTTATTAATTTTATATAAAAGTTGCTGCTTGTTTTTAATCTTTTTTTTTTTTTTGGTTGGTAATTTGTGTTATCCTTGGGGCAGACTCTTAACTTGATTTTAATTTGTTTTCTTTTGTTTGATGTGTAAACAGAATGGCAATGTCAGGGGATTGTTAATCCAACAGGTCCCACCCTCATCCCACCAGTATGGATAAATCTAAGTATTTTTGATGCATCTCTATGACTTCAGGCTGTGCAAGAGACTTTTAGGGCTATGAATAATACTGCAGAAATGGAAATGGCCTACAGTAATAGCTTCAGAGCAGTAAAAGGCATAGCTGGGTGAGCTTCAGGGAGGTAGGGAAGAAGTGGAAGAGGAGATGCGGGTACCCACTATGTTGGTCTGGAGGCCATAGCACGGACTACAGTTTCTACCAAAAGAATGCAAGTCCCTAGGACTCGTGTTCAGTGAAGTAAGAGGATGGGGAAAACTGCAGCTGTACCGTTCATTCCTGACTCTGAAAGTTCCCACTTACTTTCACGCCTGTGCAAAAATACGATTTATCAGGAAGCTTTTTTTGTTAAAGGGGGGATACTACCGGTCTTTTCTCCGACGTATCCTCTATTCCCTAAGGGTTTTGTGGCAGGGTGGGGGGGCACAGTCCTTGCATATATCTGGGAAACACAAAGAAAGGTGGGCCTTAAATCAGCGGAAAATCCTCTCTCCACAGTTCAAAGAGACTGTGCCATTAGCTGTCTGAATGAGTTTTCATGTCCCATTCTTGCTGGTTTGTGGTTGGGAGAGGGTCTTGTTGAGTACATATCTGGAACACTAATGCAGCTTGGATGGTTTATTTATTATAAAAATCTGCTTTTTTTCCTGACTACCTTTGCATTGGTCACATGGCTTTGGTGTGAGCACCTTATACCCCTTTACCCTCCTCCTCTCTACCCCATCACCCTCTCTGGGGCCCAGATTCCAGGGAATTTCTTAGCGAGTCTTTTTCTGAGAGAAACTGGAAACTCAGAGTAGCCACATATCCAGAAAGCGCTTGGTTTTGCTTACACAAGCTGACATAATACACAAGCAGCACATATCCCATGGCGTCCATCACCAGTGTGTTCTGATTAATTGTCCTAAAACATCCCAGTGACTGACTGTCACTCCTGGAACCTGCTTTTCATCCCTAGCAGTGTTTTGTCTCATGGATCCTTTCTACCTCCAGTGTTTAGGTGAAAGACAGAAATCAGATTGGCAGCGGGTGTACATCTGCCTAGTTAAAATGCATAGGCTCGTTGAGAGCGTGAAAGGAATATGAGATCATGTACTACAATTTAGCAGAAGTTTCTTTTTTAAATCATAATCATGCTGACAGCAGGAATTGATGCATCTGAAAAGAGACAATAACATTTGTATACAGACCTAGATCATGGTCTGAGTTCATAAGTGTTGAAAATGGAGAATTATTGTCCCAGTAGACACTGGGACATGCGTTGTCGCAAACTTACTGACAGACCCAGGACATTTATTTAGCAAACAAATCTGATTCTTTCCTCCAATGACGCATAGTTACATCTCTGATTTTGGTATTAGTGCGTTCTTATCTTGGAACAGAGATGATGTTCTGTTGCATGCTCACAGTCTTAAATCCTTTCTATGCTTTTTAAGGGAAGGTTTTTGTTGCAAATGTTCACTTCCAGACACTCTTGTAGCTGTATGCTGGTACATTTGCTCCTGTATTGATTTGTCAGCCAGGACCAGAAGGAATTTTGTCGCGTGTTAGAAAAGGATAATAGCATTTCTTTTTCAGAGCTCCATGTCTCTGTATTTAAAGATGCGTGGGTTGCTTTTCATAGTTGCAAGCATGCCAAAGGACATATGCAGGAAAGAGAAGGTGAAAAACTCTCTCATTATAGCCAAGGACAGTTAGCTCAAAAAGCAAGAGATTTACAGAGACACAAATACAGATATGCCCTGGAGGTCTAGAAAAACAATTTAGAAAATGGCTTCAGGATGAGGTAGTGTAGGCTAGGGATGAAATTTTTTCTGTTGTTAGGAAAACGTATTCCAATTTGGCTATAGCACACTTGATCTCCTCAGAATGCACTCTCTGTACTCACTGTAGAATGATTCATGAACAGCTCATGGAAAGTACACACAGATATGTCTGCTTACAAGAGTCACATCTGTCTATTTAAATCTTATTAAGAGGATTTATTTTGTTTCTTAGTGTACAGTATATGTTAGTCTAAGTACATTTTACCATGCTGCTCTTAGATGGTGTGTATGTGCATGCACTCAAAAATTTTGGGGGGGCAATACTGTGCTTGTTATGTGCCCAAGTACCTGATTTTTTTAAGAGACTTTCTTTTTCCAGCCCATAGGCTAGTGTAACTTCAGGTTTTTGTTTTTCTTTGGGTAATTTCTGATGACACATCATGGTTCCGCTACTTCTTAAGATCCTCTGCTTCAATAAATCGTTGTCGAAGCGCAAGTTAAATTGGATTGAAAAAGTCACTTTACCATGAATGGGAAATCTGTGCTCAGCTGAACCAGCAAGGAGAACATGCATGAAAGATAGTTGAATCTTCATGTAAGAATGCGCTGTTGCTCAGTAACTTGGTTTGAGTGCTAGTGAGGTTATCATGTAAGAGAAAACTAAAATGCCAGAACATTAAGAGGAAGACATATATTCTGATGCTTGAATTATAGACCTTTTAGGACGTCAGAAGCTTCAATTTTGAATTTTACCTTTAAATGAACAGACTGACAAAGAGATTTTCAGTGAAATCGGTATAGCTCTTGATGTATTTGGAGTTACAGCTTATGATTTGTTGCACCTTTTAGGTTAATCACAAGGATGCCAGCACTGAGCGAAGAGCTATCTGCTGATCTTGGCACACA